GAGCAGGAAGGCTCTGAAGAAGGGTCTAGGCCCGAAACGTCAGCCTTCCTGCTCCTCTGATGCTGCTTGGCCTGCTGTGTTCGTCCAGCTCTACACCTTGTTATCTCAGATTCTCCAACATCTGCAGTTCCTGCCATCTCTGTATGTTTCTAACAACTTGTTTCCATTTTTACAATTTAAAAAAAAAACTTACTGAAACATATTTTCCAAAAGGTATTTTAAAAAAGAAACTTGCCTCTTAGTGGGTTTCCATAGCTTTCATGCAACTTGAACTGAATTTTCTTTACATATGCAGACATGTCCTATAACAAAAATAAACATTTAGTCCTGTTCATGCCAGTCTCTTAATGTTTATAAGAAAAGTATTATGGTGGCATGAAGACAGACATTACAGACACTTGATTATACAGAGTGGGGCTTGAACCCATAACCTTACTACTCAGCTTTCAGAATGCTACCAAGTAAAGACTAACACATTTACTAGGCATCAAACCAATAACTTTCTTGATCATGTAATTCAACAACTTGCTGTCTTAATTAGAGAGAGCTTGGACAATCCCAGTCCTGATCACTTTTCTTAAACTGAGACACCTATTTTTGACAATCTAGTCACTTATTGACACGCAGAATCTTTTCATGCTGTTATTTTGTATTGGCAGCAGAAATTGAGTACGAGCTAAAATATACTATTTGATGTGCACATAAGTAACTTAGCTGCTCACCCCTAACCAGACGATGGATGAAGTGAACCCAGCAGCTATTTCAATAGTCACTAAGGAACATGCGCAATGCAATGTTACTTTTAAGTCTAGAGAATGATAATCAATGTTTACACTTTGATATTCAGGAAACAGTAATTAAGCAACAAGCATTCGTTATTTCATTTTCCAGATGAAGGTTATGCCAGACTTTATTCAAATATGAAGCAGTACAAAACTAAATCATCCTAAAACAATCTTAAATCAAAAAGTAGAAAGATCAACTTATTTGGAGTGTCCACAAGTTACGATATATTCTATGCATGTCCTCCTAACAAGCTAACGAAAATATGATACAATTTATAAATTAGCTTTGTATTGCTTCATAATGTGTTTGATATTCAGTTATAATATCTTTAAGTACATACCAAAGACTAAATAGCAGAACTCACTTCATTCCTGTAAGGTTTTACATACACTGTCCACTGATGAGTGTGTCCATCTTCCTCTCGTTTCTTTCCAAAATAACGAGCAACATTTCCAAAGACTATTGGTTTAACTATCGTGACACCCTATATATGAGAACATCAAGAAAATATGTCTTAGTTTCTCAATGTTTCCTGAATGTTGAGGAATGATCAGCTTCTAAAAAAAAAGTTACAAAAAGATATAAGAAACCAGATATGATAATATTTCAATACCAACTTTAAGACAGCAATGCAAAAGGAACAATTAAATTAGCTACCCCTCAGTCACCAAAGCAGTCTTTCCTGTTAGGAGTTAGTAAGTAAATATTCCTGAATCAACCTGTTCAGAGATGTTCTTACAAACTTCCGGAGCAAGTGGGACTTGAACCCAGGCCTTCTGGCACAGAGAAACTAAAGTCCTCCATTGGTAGTCTAAGAAGCATGCTAAAACTTACTGAAAAATAAAACCCAGTAGGGAGAGATCAAAATCAAGAGAGGTGGAAAATGATACAAGGATAGCTTCAATCATTCACTCTCACCTGAATTTTAAGAATTAAACACTGCCCTAGCAATCAGATGTGGACAGATTTTTGGTAGCTAAGAAAATTGAGAATATGTGCAGGAGGGTGGAATTGAGATAGCTTATCAACCATGATTTTGTTGAATGGCTTGACTTCAGCTCAAATGGCTAAATGTGTACTCCAAATTCCATTTTAGAAATGTTTTTACATAAATCACCATAAGTTATGACCTAGTAACGATGTCAGCTGATGATGATATTGGAGAAGAAGTCAGATCTCAGAGTGAGACCTAACTTGATGGATCATAAGTTTATTTTTTGGTTACCATGATGGTCAGTCAGTGAACATACTGATGAGAAGCTCCAAGCATTCTTAACAAAAGAACACAAGATTATTATACAAAAGGAGGAAAGCTGTATACAGGACAGTTTGGAAAGATCTTTATAAACAGCAAAAAGAAAAGTTCCCAACAAGTAAAGTACCCCCATTTAACTCCTTAGTTTCTTGTTTAACCGATGAGCTAGTAAGAATATCCTCTCGGCAACTTTCTATACATTCACCACATGATTCTCTGTAATCGTCTCTCCAACATACAAAGCTAATTCACCGACTTTTCCCACATGATCTTTAAAAGCCTCATCTACTTAAACTGCTAAAACTATTTTAAGATTTCTTTCTCACTTTGAAAACCTGGGTAACACACATAAAATGCTTCCACTGGAATGAAATTATTCTTCTCAACCGAACTCAGATTGTGGTCCTTGTTTGTCTCTCTGTATGTCATAAAGTTCAACTCTGTAAACATTTCATCATTAATCTCCCTGGGTAGTTCATCTAATAAATTTATCTGAAGTCACACGCAGTGGATGTTATCTACTTGGGTTTTAGGAAGGCAGACAACATGGTTTGTAAAACAGACTAATAGTTTAATCAAGCATGATCTCCCACTACTAAAACTGCAAAACATCTACGCATTGATGAGTATATATTAACAAGGTCTGCCAAACAGTTAGTAGACAGACTACAACAGGAAGTAAAACAACGCTAGAAAATTGACTTGCAAATAGTTGATTGCACAGACATAATGTTCACTGTTTGCCAAATCAATGCTTGTAACAAAAAACCCTGCCTCCACCTAAAAACACACACAAAAAACAGTGAGACCTCAGCACAATGGTGTAAGTGCTTTGTTATCACTTTTCCAAGAATGCATTCCAGTATTTCCTGATACCGCACGTTACGCAGATTGGTCCATTTTTCTCTCTCTCTATTACAGACGAGTGCCACATTTGCTATTCGCAAATCCACTGGGACAGTTCCATGGAAGGTAAGAAATATTGGAAGATCACAGCTAGTGTATACCACATCTCTGCAAACAACAAATGCTGGAGATCACAGCGGATCGGGCAGCATCCATGAAGACAGAGCAAGCTAATGTTGCGAGTCTAGATGACTCTTAGGAGTCAGAGTTGTACAGCATAGAAACAGGCCCTTCAGTCCAACTCATCCATGCCGACCAGATATACTAAATTAATCTATTTCCATTTGCCAGCATTTGGCCCATATCTCTCTAAATCCTATTCATATACCCATCCAGATGCCTTTTAAATGTTGTAATTGTACCAGCCCCCACCACTTTGTCTGCCAGCCCATTCTGTAAATGCACCACAATCTGTGTGAAAAAAATTGCCCCTTAGGTCCCTTTTAAATCTTTCCCCTCTCACCTTAAGCCTATGCCCTCTGGTTTTGGACACCCCACTCTGGGAAAAGACTTGGCTCTTCACCCTATCCATGCTCCTCATGATTTTATGAACCTCTATAAAGGTCACCCCTCAGCCTCTGATGCTCCAGTGAAAATAGCCCCAGCCTATTCAGCCTCTCCCTTTGGCTCAAACCCTCCAACCCTGGCAACATCCTTGTAAATCTTTTCTGAACCTTCTCAAGTCTCACAACATCCTTCCTATAGCAGGGAGACCAGAATTGCATGCAGTATTCCACAAGTGGCCTAACCAATGTCCTGTACAGCCGCAACATGACCTCCCAACTCCTACATGCAATGCACCGACTAATAAAGGCAAGCATACCAAACGCCTTCTTTATTATATAAAAACTGAAAGAACTGCAGATGCTGTACAAATCAGAAACTGCTGGAAAAGCTCAGCAGGTCCGGCAGCATCTCTGAAGAGAAATTAGAGTTAACCGGACCTGCTGAGCTTTACCAGCAGTTACTGATTTTGTGCCTTCTTCACTCTCCTGACTGCTGGTACTCCACTTTCAATGAACTATGAACCTACACTCCAAGATCTCTTCGTTCAGCAACACATCCCAGGACCTTAACACAGTGTATAAGTCCTGCACTGATTTGCCTTTCTAAAATGCAGCACCTCACATTTATCTAAACCACTCCTCAGCACATTGGCCCATCTGATCAAGGTCCCATTGTACTCTGAGATAACCTTCTTCATGTCAGCTCTGATGAAGGAGGAGGTACAGTTAGTAAATTTGCTGATGACACCAAAATTAGTGGTGTAGTGGACAGTGAAGTGTGGAGGTAGCTCCACACCTGCACTTCTATCACCGGAAAATACCACAATCTGCAAGTTCCCTTCCAAGTCACAGACCATTACTTCCTGGAACCACATTGATGATGAAAGAGTAGCAATGAGTCAAAAACTTGGAACTCCCTCAGTAACAGGTTGTGGTATACTGACACTACATGGGCTGCAGTGGTTCAAGACTGGAAAATTAGGGATGTGCAAATAATTGGAATGACCCCCCTACTCCATCCAACCAAAAACATAAATGTGTCTCATTAATAAAATAAGATCTAAAATCTCTTTTTCCTGTTCGGTTTTTTTCACAATCTAATTCATCAAAATTTGCAGACAATAGCCAATGATGCCCATCATTTTTTTAAAAAATCCTTTAAATCAGCCTTTTACAAACAGGTTATGACACCTCCGGGGCAGGTGAGACTTCAACTCTGACCTCTGCCCCAGAGATCAATTACCATTGCACTCCATAATTGTGACCAATATGCATAAATTCCAACGGACCTTTAACAACACTTTGATATGAAATGACAGATGAAGTTTAGTCATACTAGATTTAGCATAAGGTAGGCTAAAGTTTATTATTTTAAGTACTTTTTTTAACTGAGGCATGAATTTTCCTTTTGAGCATGATAGTATGAAATAATAAATATTCAAATTATCTCACACACAAACATAATTAAGAATAGGCCCCTCAGCCTCGCTCTGTCATTTTCTAATCAATGTGTTCAGGAACAGGTGGGTCTTGAACCCAGGCCTCCTGGTTCAGAGGTAAGGACACTACATTGCACTATAAAAGCCATGCTCTGCCATTCAGTAAGATCATAGTTGATCTGATTACTCCAAATTCCCCCTAATCCTATAACCTTTCACCACCTTCCCCCCCTCCATGTTTACCAAGAATCTATCTACTTCTGCATTGAAAATATTCAAGGACTCTGCTTTCATGCCTTTTTTTAAACGAGAATTCCAAAGTCTCTTAATCCTTTGTGGGGGAAAGAATGTCTTAAATGGGCAACTCTATGTTCAAACAGTAATCCCCCAATTCTAGATACTCCCACAAGAAGAAACATGGTCTCCACACCTATGCTGTCAAAGCCGTCAGGATCGTGTGTTTTAATCAAATCACCTCCTACTCTTCTATACACTAGATAGAAACTCTGCCTGTCCAACTGTTCCTCAAAATCAACTCACCTATTCCATAAATTAATCTAGTAAAACTCCAAACTGCTTCCAACACATTTACATTCTTCCTTTAAAACGGGAGACCAGCGCTGTTCATAATCTCATCAGCGCTCTGTGTAACTGAAGTGTAACCTCATTACTTTTGGATTAAATTCCCCTCGCAATAAATGACAGGAAAGCGAATAGAAATACTAACTACTTGCTGTGTCTGTACCTTTTTATGATTCATTAAAAAAAACCCCACAATTTCCAGCTCCTTTGTAGGTCTTAACACTCATCTCTTCTTTCATTGCCCTGCTAACTGGTTTGCACGTTAGACTAAATGACAAAGCTAAAAACCATCTGTAGTCGAGATCCTCTGGAACTCGCCTCTGTTTTATTCAGGCTGACTGTCTTATTTCCCCAACGATGGACATCATTCAATCTGACAGTTTGTGAGAGATTCACTCCAAGAGGAAAACGTTCATGACGTTCTCTGAATGCTATAACAAAAGAAGTCACTTTCTGGCTGTTTACAATTGTGCCACGTTAATAACAATTCTATAGTTACCATTAACATATTGTGGAAATAGGAAAAGCTTCTAACGTTTGCTGTTTGCGGGGGTATATTTGCAACTTGTTACCCTATAAAAAGGCTTTTACCTTCACTCTTCCTCCCGAGTCAGGACCGAACTCCGCCATTCTCTTGAACATATTGTTAGAGCGGCGCCGCTTCCGGAACCAGACCCGAGCCCGCAGATTCTCGGCAGCAGCGGCTGGAGCCACTAGGCCGCAGCGCCTCCTCGCCCTCTGTTCCCAGCTTCAGCCGGCAGCCCACCGCTCCCCCTGCTGGTCTCTGTGGGAACTGGCCCGCTTCTTCACCCCCTACTCGGCCGCCACCGCTGGCTTTCTCAAATAACACGGAGCGAAGCCACACCACCTGGGCTCCTCGCGAGGTACCGCCACTCTCAACACCCTCACCAAAATGGACCCCGCCCCGTTCCCTCATCAACATGGCAGACACACCCGTCACCCTATTCCCTCATCAACATGGCGGGTACAGCCACAAACACCCGTTTCCTTATCAATATGGCGTATCCATGTGCCCACTCCCTCATGAATATGGCGGAGGCTGCCCTCCTTTTCGTTCCGATGAGAAGCCATCAAGTTGAAACGTTCACTCTCGTTCTTTCCCTCTTCATGGAGTCATTTTTAAAGTTCTCGTTTGCTTTACGAGGGCAGTGAACACTTCTTGCGGCTCTTTATCCAGCGACTGACTAACTTTGGACCGAGCCTCAACGACAGGAGGATTTTAAGATGGAGATTTCAGAGTTGTTGGAAAGAGAAAGGCCAAAAATAGATAGGCCAAAAATAGATGAAAACAATTAAATCATCAAAGCACTAGAAACAAGCAAAATGACTGATAAATTTCCAGGTGTTTCACCAGTAATCTCTTCTGGAACGTAAACTGAAGAGTGAGGATGTTTTTTGCATAATTCAGTACCATTCGCAATCCTAAGACACTGAAACAGTCTTTTTTAATAATCTTCATGGCACTCGAGTGCCATACAGGTTATCTCAAAGAGAATCTAATCATCACCCTTTTATATTCGATAGCATCATCAATAGTGAATTCCCCAATATCAACTACCTGGAGCACTTACTCTTGACCAGGAACTAGACTGTGATGTGAAAAAGGATCATTTTTCCAACATCCACATGGCACAAGTCAGCAGTGGGACAGAATGTTCCCTACTTGCCAGGACTGCAGCAAAGGTCAACAAGCTTGATATCATATCGGACCAAAAAAAAAATCCTGATTTGACCCCCTCATCTATTACCTTAAACATTCACAACACAAATAGACAGTGGTAGCAAGGTGTACTGTTTAAGTATGTATTATAACTTGATAATGCTTCTTCAACTATGCCTTCCAAATCCAATAGCAGAAGGATAAGGACAACAGACAAACATAAGCAGCATTGTCTTGCCAGCAAGGTGACCAGCTTTTTCTGGATTCTCTGGAATTTAGATTCCAATCCTGGTTTTAGGCTTTCCAGAACATTATTTAATGCAGATTCCTCTGGGCAGCAACTGAGGAAACTGCTCAGTCTCCACTTGCTGCACAAAAATCTTAAGTGTTTACACATGCATAGTTCAGAAGCAGTACACTATGCAGAGACCGAAATGTGACAGTCTGAATTTCGGTCTGGAAGCAGCTTTCAGGTTCCTGTCCACGAATTCAGGAC